ATAATCAATGCACATTTAGTGGACTAAATAGAAAGATCAGAGCCCCGGCTATTGCAGGTGCCTCATACTTCGTGTTCTGCTGCTCTTATTGACTGAAACCTGCTGTCTGAACATTTGAAGCACTGAATAATTTAGAGGTTGATAATTCTATGACATACAATGATATGTTTGGTCAAGGGGTGCCATGTAAAGACTTTTCCATGGTTCTTCTCAAAACTGGTATTTTGCAACGGACGTGTAAAGCTTCACAGCATAACTGGCGATGTTGATGCGATCTCAACACTCCAAAATAGTAGTTTTCACCCTTCTATAGATTTCCTCCTATAGTGTTCAAATTCCTTAGTTTAAAAGAAGGCCAAGCAAAGTACAGTTTTTCACTCTCAATTTGCCATATATAATACAAAATTATATAACACTATGACAATATAAAAACCTACAGCATGCTCAAGGTAACTATTGTTTCCTGGAGTACAAATGGATTTAACTTTTTCCCACTTGTCCAAATTTCATTTTAGCAAGGCAATATCACCTTCAGTAAAAGATGCTGTCTTGGATAGCAATAATCAGCAAGAGATATGGACATTTTTCATAAAATAGCACTTACTGATATAAGCCACGCTGGGACATCAGCTTTTGTTGGTAAGTCAGGAGATTTAAAGGAACACAGAGATCAGGGCACAAAAGCAACAACATACTTGCAAAGTACAGCACCTACAGGAGGTAGGAAACTGGCTTCTCTGGTCTCCTCCCAGGTCTTCTCTTACTCTGGGTTAATGGTGATGAGACTTAATCAGAATAACATGCGCCGGGCATATGGAATTGATGCCAAGGAAGAAAGGCCAATGTCAGTGGTTTTACTCTATGCTTGAAATAGTGGAGGCCAGAACATGTTGACCTCATGTGAGCCTTTGATAACCTAGCTGTAAAATTGGCTTAGAGGATTAATTATGAGAGCAATGAGGAATTTTAATTATTACCCAAAGCAGAGAGTAAATATTCTGAACCAGATTTAATGCTTCTAAAAGTCTTGGGAGAAATATTTCAAGACACTTAGCCCAATCATCTGAAATCATGTTCAATTTTGTTATTAATAAAAATCAGAAGTGGGTTTCATATTAGAAGTCACCATCTACATAGGATAATGAAACCTGGTTAATGTTACGGGTGATTACTTTCTGAGGTTCTGTTATGCCAAAGAGGCTTTCTATTCTTGTAAAGAGTTGACCGGCTCAGAAACCCAGAGTCCTACAGGGTCATAAAGAGCCAGAATTGAGTTCATGCAGTGCATTTGGCGATGGTATTTGGCCACGGATATGATGAAGTTCAACAGGAAAGGTCAAGGTCCAAACCAGTTGTTCAGTTAGTTGCTCTTTGAACAGATATTTATTGGCCATCTGCTATGAACCAAACTCTTCTATTGTCTAGGAAAACAACAGAGAACGTAACAGTGACCCTGTTCTCTTGCTGCTTATAGTCTAGAAAAAAAGATAAATAATATACAGAAAGGTAAATATGTCTTATTATATCAGGTAGTGACGAATGTTACAAAGAAGCATGGACCATATGGAGGTATTGTTGTAGGTGTATTGTCAGTTGCTTTCTAGTGAGTGTGAATTCACAGCGGCCCTGTGCACCACAGAACACAACACTGCCTTGCCCTGTGCCGTTTTCACAACTGTTATTTTTGAGCCCATTGCTGCAGTCACTGTGCCAATTCTTATCAGGGAGGGTCCTCCTCGCTTTTGCTGACCACTGTTTTACCAAGCATGATGTCTTCCTCCAGGAGTGGTGCTTCTGGAAATTCGTCCAAAGTGTGTGAAATGCAACGTCAGTGTCTTCATTTCGAAGACGGATTCTGGCTGTACTTCTTTCACGACAGACTTGTTTGTACTTTTGGCCGTCCAAGGTATTTTCAACATCCCAAATACTTCACCAGCACCATAATTTAAATACATAAATTCTTTCATGTTCCTTATTTATTCTCTTACTTAAAAAAAAAATCATTTTATTGGGGGCTCTTACAGCTCTTATAACAATCCAGACACCCATTGTGTCAGTCACATTTGTACATATGTTGCCATCATCCTTTAAAAACATTTTCTTTCTACTTGAGCCCTTGGTATCAGCACCTCATTTTTTTCCTCCCTCCCCCACCTCCCATCCTCATGAACCCTGGATTACAAATTATTATTATTTTCATATCTTACACTGACTGCTGTCCCCCTTCACCCATGTTTCTGTTGTTTGTCCTCCTTGGTGGGGGGAGGGTTGTATGTTGATCATTGTGATCAGTTCCATCTTTCTCCCCCCCTACCTTCCCCCTACCCTCATGGTATCACTACTCCCATTATTGTTCCTGAGGGGTTTATCTGTCCTGGATTCCCTGTGTCACCAGCTCTTATCTTTACTGGAGTACATGCTCTGGTCTAGCCAGATTTGTAAGGTAGAATTGGAATCATGATAGTGTGGGGGAGGAAGCATTAAAGAACCAGAGGAATGTTGTATGTTTCATTGGTGCTATACTGCACCCTGGCTTGCTCTTCACTTCCTTGTGACTCTTCATAAGGAGATGTCCAATTATCTACAGATGGGCTTTGGGTCTTTACTCCACCCCTCATTTGCACTGATATAATTGTTTGTTCTGGGTCTTCTGATACCTGATATTTGATCTCATCGATACCTCACTATCACACAGGCTGGTGTGCTTCTTCCATGTGAACTTTGTTGCTTCCCTGCTAAATGTCCGCTTGTTTATCCCCAAGCCTTTAAGACCGCAGCCACTATCTCTTTTGATAGTCAGGCACCATCAGCTTTCTTCACCACATTTGCTTATGCATCTATTTTGATCATATTGGGAAGGTGAGCATCACAGAATGCCAGGTTATGAGAATAAAGTGTTCTTGTGTTGAGGGAGTACTTGAGTAGAGGCCCAATGTCCATCTGCTACTTTATTATTTGACATATAATATATGTACATAGAACCGTGTTCCTATAATTATATATAAACGTATTTACATATGTACATGCCTGTATTTATACCTCTGTAGATGTCCTTTGCCTCCTAGCTTTTTCCTCTATTTCCTTTTACTTTCTGCCTGTCCCACTATCATGTCCGACCTTCATTCAGCTCTCAGTGATTTCTCTCAGCTACATTGCACTTTATCAAGTCCCACCAGGCATCCTATGCCCTCCTCAGCATCAATTCTACTTGTTTATCCGGCCTATCTGATCTAGCTAGACATGAAAAAAACAAAAACAAAACAAAACAACAAAAACAAATCTATAAATAGTTCCAGGTCTTTCTTTTGACCTTTATGAGTGTTTTCCACTTTAATCTGATGAGGTGCTTTGCCCTGTCTCTGATGTCAATTTTGGGGATTCCTTCGGGACTTCATTGCTTTGCTTCCTTGCTGCTCTGTTAAATGCCCTTTGTGGTTCACCCCGTTGTGTTGGGGTCAGATCGGGCTCAATTCCTGCACTGTGTCTCCAATGCTGTCCCCCACGAAGCAGCAAACCAATAGAAAGGTCTTCAGGGCCAGCCCCAATCCCAGTCATGTGGACCCCTTCCCCAGAAGAATGAGCTACAGAGGACAGTACTGAAGCTACAGCTCAGTGAGAGGGGGCGCATCTGCTCAGAACACACTGGCACAAACTAAGAGGGAAGGAGAGAGAAAGAGAGAATGGAGCCCATCCCGGCCCACCAGGAGTACGATATTCCTGCTCAGAGCAGCCAATGCATAGAAAGGACCATAGGGCCAGCACCAGGAAACAGGGCATCCTGGCAGTGACCGATAGTGCTATTCTCTCACTTTTACATGCAGATGAAGTGATTAAAAATAGCATTGCTTGGATCAGTCACACCTTAGTCCTCAAAGTGACATCTCTGCTCTTTAACACTTTAATTTAAAGAGAACTTGTGTAACAATGGGAGTATTACTCTCCTTTGTTTATAAACCAGGATTTTACATAAGAGGGCCAGAGAAGGAGTTGATAATTGAACTGAGATGCAAGTGTCTAAAAGGAGAATTCCAGGGAGAGAGACTAGCATTTGCAGAGGACCGTTGGCAGCAGAGTGCCCAGTCTATTTTAAGAATAGCAGGAAGACCAGTATGGCTAGAACAGAATGAGTAGAGTCAAGGGTGGTAGAAAACGTGGTTTGAGAGGTAGCCAAAATAAGACTGAGTGAAGGTATGGACTTAGGATTTCTTTATGCAAATATGTGAGGTTGTTAGGTGCTGTTGTGTTGATTCTAACACATAATTACCCCCTGTGAGAGGGTAGAACTGCCCCGTAGGCATGGCTATGCTGTAGTCTTCAGGGAAGCACATTGCCCATCTTTCTCTATTAGGACAGCCAGCTTTTGGGTTAGCAGCTGAGTGTGAAATCACTGCACTTCCAGAGCTTCTTAGAGGAGTTTATTCTTGCTCAGCGGTCTACTGCGTTCTAGGAGAGATTTTTAATTTGAAGTAAGAGCTGCCTGAAAATGTATCTCCTGTTAGGGGGCCCAATTCATCTGGTCTTGCATGAATTTCTTATGCACAACTGCTCAAAGACAAGCTGTAGACAGATTTTCAAATCATTTGCAGTTCATTGTATAATACCAGTCTTTGCATAAACTCTACTTGTACTTTTATGAAATAAAAAGAAAATATCATGTAAGCTTAAATTATGACACGTGGAATTCAATCATGGTTTTTTTGTGGGGGAGTGGGGGTTTCCTGCTGTGGAGTAAACATAGTTAGGGCCCTGGATTTTCCATTCACTTGTTTTACTGTTAACTATGGCCATTTACAAACATTGGTGTTGGAAGAACTATTCTTCACTACATTTTTTACCAGACATTTACTGTACAGAACTAGTGAATTGAAAAGAAAATGGTAAGGAAATAGCAGCAGGCATTTCCACAATGTGCAACAATATGTACTTTGGTCACTCGTAAATGTTAGCTCCACCAAGAAAACTTGGCCTAGCAAACACATTCTCTAATGTAGCATCCAACCTTATAACATTATTCTCCTGGTAGATTGTACTAGACGAACCATGTTTGCTACCATTCTTTTTTCTTCTGAAATAGCAATGATCTGTAATAGAAATGATGATTTAATCAATCTCTCCATATACATATGTGTTTGAAAACATGAGTTTTAATAAATGTAGTATACATTAGATACTATTATGGATTTAAATGAAGCCAATAATTTTATGACAAATTAAAAATGCCTTGGAAATAAAAAGGTAAAACCAATCATTCATTTATGTTTAAGATCCATTATTTAGTTTCATTACCCTTGGTTGATTTACATGTCCTCAATCACAGTGGATTTTCCTCTCTCAATATTCTATAGTATATCTTATATACACTAATATTTTATCATTTATGTTACATCAACATCAGGGCTGACTTTGTTGCTGACCTTAGACTGCTTGAACCGGAACTCTTTCTCTTTCTGCATGCGGTACTGCTCAATTTCTGCCGTTGCTTCTTCCTTTGCTTGTTTTGATCTCTTCCCTTTTCCTGGAAATTAACAGTGGGATCAAAAGGAATGGTGCATCTTTAGAATATGCATGGGATTTCAATTTTTTAAAAATGGGTAAATTGCACATTTACTGGTGATTTTTTCCTTAGAGGAGCGCATTTCATTAAATAACAACAATGATAGATATATTGAGAATAATAGATTTAGTGCTCATTTTTCTAAATGCATTCTTTGAACCATGGCAATGACAACTTTCTTTCATGCCTACGTGTTTGAATTAAAGGCCTTCTCATTTGTCCACATGAGTAACAGAGAACAGGTTTTCACGGACACAGGCTTGAAAAGACATTCTTGGGTCAGATCATGTGTTCTGATTTGCACCCAGGAGTCCTTCAATCCACACCAACTGGATCCTATTTAGCACTGGCGGATCTCCAAAGTCACTACAAACACATAACTCTACCAAACTGGCTCACCTTTTTTTTTTAACCCATTTTATTGGGATTTTTCCTTACTACTTGTTGACTCTAGTATTTCTGATTAAGTCTCTCAGCCCCACAACACATCAAAGTAGTTTTTTTTTTTTT